GATGTATTTACTTAAGTACGCAATACTATTTGTATATATATATATATATATATATATATATATATATATATATATATATATATATATATATATATATATATGTATATGTTATATAATGTGGGAACACTTATATAATTAAAAATAAATAGAAACTTCAATCTAACCATTAACTTTTTGTCTAAGTTCTGGGAGTCCTTTAAGTTCTAAGTATACGCAAGCATCTTCTACACTCCAGTTCAAACAATCTGCCTTTTTTTTTATAAATTTCAACAAATGAAATATTTATAAATCTTAATAAAACCATTCCCAATATACAATGATATATTTATTATTAATATACATGATAAAAGCATAAAGGAATAATAAAACTGATTGGAAAAAAAAACAAAAACATGTTGCTTTAATAATCGCTGTTGATGTTAAGAACGGTAATAAAAACAACTCAAATGTTTAAAGCACAAGTTAAATTTTGTCATGATAATTATTTTTTATTGTTATTATACCATTCTTCATAAATTCATACTGGTCTACCTATATAACGACTGATTAGAAAAATTAAATTGCGTTTACAAATGGTTTAAAGAACCCTAATTTAAGGTTCTTCAAGGTTTTCCATAAAACGATTTGAAGAACCTTATGGGTTTCTTTGTATTGCTTTGTAAATAAGCCACCCGTTTTTCAGAGAACCATTAGATAATATTAAGAACCCGTAGGTTCTTTAAAGAAACTTAAATTTTTTCCAAGAACCGACAAAGAACCACAAAGAATGTTTTAGATTTACAGTGTATGATTATTATAATGTTAGATTTATGTTCAGTTGCCCTTTAGGTGTCTAAAACATATCTAATGTCTTACTTGAATTTTTTTTTTACAATAGTTTATTTAGGTCAATCCATAAAATGTGTTTTAATGAAGGAAAAACAGTTGTCATGTCATCAACAATGTCATTTGGAGAAATATTTTTAATATTTGATTTATTATTCCAATGTTAAGCTTTAATCAAATGCTAAATAAAATAATTTTTTTCACAATACTGCAATATTTTCTTTAATAATAATTTAAGAACACGGAGTATCAAAAATCTTTTACGTTTGTTTGTTGTAGAGAAAATAATCTTTTGAATAAAATTATTTTAATCTGAGCATACATTATTTTAACTTAGTAGACTTCATTTTATTTTGTTTAGCAAATGTTCAACACTTTGTATACATTTTTAGATTGCAAAGAAGTTTATTCACAATCTAATTTATGAGCTTTTAAAAAGTTTTGTTAATATGATTACAATTACTTTTAATATTATTTATGTAGATTCTTATATAAGAGTTTATAAAAAATAGTTTTATAACTAAGTATCTGCTCTAAATAATTGTCTGGTTGCTATGCTAGGCAACAGTTTGTTATTTATTTGTAACTTCAGTTGTCATTTGAAAAGAATAGTTTTCTTGTTCTGCCGGATTAACATAATATTACACTGCTCTATATGTGTTTATAATACAATATGAATGTGCCTATGTATTTATATGTTTTATGTTACAGGCGGCTTACCTTACAGCAACATTCCCTTATGTTATACTGATTATTCTATTTTTTCGTGGTGTTACTCTTGAAGGTGCAGGAGAAGGAATAAAAGTTTTTTTTAAAGCTGACGTAAGTTGTTTTTTTTTATCATGGTTTATGAAATATAATTTTTTAATTTAAAATATATTTAATATCTGTCTTGTTTTATAATATATTTTTTATATATAGTATATGTTTTTTCATTAAAATCTATAGCAGTTCACAAATTAACAAAACTTTTATAATGTGTATCAGTACAAAAATCAAAGGCCTTTAATTTTTATGCATATTAAATGTAAGATAATTTGTGTGCATACTAAATGTAGATAATTTGTATGCCTAATAAATGTAGATGATTTGTATCCATAATAAATGTAGATAAACTACAGATTCTTAAAATATTAAATAACTTTTATAAGATCTTGCAGTAGCGTACTTTCAAGGTTTTATTTACCATTTATTTGATTTAATATAAAACTTGAAACCATTAACTCTTCTTTTTTAGTTTTTTTTAGCAGAATAGTGTGGTAGAACTGACTTTTTTAAAGAACTTTGTATCAAGTAGTACACTACAATCTCCCTAATTCGAATTTTATTGTGAAAAATAAAGTTTGAATTTAAAATTTGAAGCTTGAAATTGAAAGTTGAAGTTTGAAAGAGATTTTTGAATTAAAGAAAGTTGACTTTTTTTCCAAATTTTCTCATTAAAGTAACAAATAGAAATCAAACAAGCAAACAAATAGTAATTCTTAGGCCTAAATGCAAAATATATTATGCGTTTTAACTCTTACATTTTTTAAAAAAAGTCAGTAATTGTAGAATGTCTTTTATAACTTGTAGACCCATGTTAATGGCATGATTTATATCTTTAATTTGTCAAATTATCTCTGAAGTTATAATAAAAACTGTAATTTACAAGTAGAGTTATAGCATGCATTGTTTCGTTCAAACTTGGTTTTGTAGCATCGTTAGAAACATCAACGTGCTCATCATTAGATTTCTCTTCAGTTTCAATAGCATTGTATCGAGAAAATTTTGCAATGATGTCCTTATCTTATTATTTGTTGGCAATGTATCGAAATTTATGTCTATTAAAATGTTGGTCATGAGGTTAAATCTGCATCAAATTTTGCTTTTAACAAATCAAAATAATCTTTTAAGTTTTCCATTATAGCCTCCTCTACATCTAAGCCACAGAAAGAGTTGTTATTAACATTTATATGCTTTTCTACTGCTTTGAATAATATTCTTGATTTCTTGAAACAGTCTATAAAGGTTTAGTCTGGAATGGATGCATGCATTTGTTAGCATAAACATAGCAGTTAAAATAAAAAAATTATATGACTTGTTCTCTTTTTGCAAGGCAGCAATCTGCTTTTTCACTGCAAGTGAGGGATATTTTGCTTTAAGAGATTGGATTACTCCTTGATCCATAGGTTGGTTGATCGAGGTTATGTTCAGTGAAAGAAAGATAAGCTCCACCCAATCAAGTTTCTGCACGTTAGGATGGGCAAAACAATTATCTATAATTAAAGCAATTTTTAAAATTGGATAAAATAAAATAAAAATTTACTTTTTCTTAAATTTGTCTTGCCACCATCTGAAGTTTGAAAATTTTTAAAGCTCAACTGTTTCACAAAATATAAAGCTTTTTCTTTTAACAGCAAACCAGTAATTTGGACATTATCAGCTCTCATTCGTTTGACCCATTTAAGTACAGCTTTGTTTACTATGTAACACGAATCAACTCTCACCTGTTTAGTCAACAAAAAGTGTCAAAGATTTTATATTTGTTCTTTTTCCAAGTTAAAAGATTGTTTGGTGGAATATCAAAAATTTTCGAAACCTTTTTGTTTGTTTTTCCTTTCTCCAATTCCAGTAGAGCTTTGTACTTCCGTTTTAAGTTGCTTTCTTTTTGCAGTCTTTTTGAGGCCATGATTTTTGTTATACAGAAGAAAATAATTTACACTAATTGTTTTTTAAACTGAAAACGTTTGAAATTTAAAAAAAGAGATTGATGGTTTAACAAGCTTTTTACACGTCAGAAAATAAAAAAAGTTCAATTTACAGAAAGAATTTTACTGATGAATTTGAAAAAATCATTTGAATCGTCGAATCAGTTTATTTTAAATTAAACAGTAAAAAAATATTTTGTCTTACTAAACTTTTATTTTTTGAAGTTGTTAATTTAATTTTGTACTCTATATGTATGCAGTTCTCATTTCAATTCCTATTACAATACCTCAAAAAGCATTTTTTTAAAAGGAATTTTTTGTAAAAATACATACTAAAGACATATGGGGATTCCCTGCATGAAAATTATATTAATATTTTCCCATAAACAGCAGTGTTAAAAAAAAGTTCTTAGAACCACATTACTTTATTGGGCAGGTTAAGTTGGGTCTAGGTAGGCATCTTAAATTTATGGTTTCCTTGACCTTTAAAAGTTTTTAGACCTTTCATTCCTTATTTCCTCCTAGATTTTCCTTCCTTAAGAAGTTTTAGATCTTATTTTTTTCTAAATTTATTTGATAGGATTTCCATTTAGGTATTTTCTTTGAGAAAGAAGATACTGTTTTAAGTTTTATGAAGAATTAAAATTAAAAAAGATTCATGAAATCATAAAATTTTATAATATTTTATAAATCTTCTGTCTAAGTCAGCAAACACCAATGAAAAATTACTTTTTATCTCAAACTTAAATTATATTATAGTCATTACAATCCTCGGAATCAGGAAAAATGAAGTTGGCAATAAATTGCCGACCTCAAACTCTTAAAGGTTGGCATTAGGTCTGCAAAAAAAATTTAATACAAAGGATTTAGCATAAAGCATAGAAACAAGGTCAGCAGTTTTTTTCCAACCTGAAACACTTTAACGTTGGTAGTCAGGTTGGCATTGCTGAATGTCAACCCTAATTACGACGGTTGTCATTATTAGATTAAGAAACAATTGAATAGACTTTAAGCTTTTTTCTTATTTATGATTATTTTGAGTTATATAGGGTGCTGGTTACATCTGGTTGGTTGTACAGGTCAGACTGATCTGGTGTAGTATATATAGAACAAGTTGAAATTTTTAAATTTAATATACAGGGGTGTGTAGGTTATCACAGAAAAAATTTATTTGAATATGTTAAAAACTGTTTGTATTACATCACTGAAAATTTGGTCACAGAAATACAACATTAATCTACATAAAAAGTTCAATGTTGTTCAATATAGCCTTCTCTGGCATCTACTACACTCTTCCGTGAAGCCCATAATGACAAAGTTCATGAGGTTCTTATCTGAGCTGGAAGGGGGCCACATGTCTGGCGATCACAAATGGGGAATATTCATTTGGAGAAAGGCTACAGTTATCTTGGCACTGTGAGCAGGTGTAGAATTGTGCATGAAGGCCCAAGTATCATTACCAAACTTCTTCTTGGCCTAAGGCAACAAGTTAGCTTTTATAAAGTCAACATAAGTTGTTTGGGTCACCTTGACACATTTGGGAACAAAGACAAGTGGAGTTTTGGAGCCATCTGAACAAACACCATCCCATACCATAACTCCTATAGGGTGCTATCTTCTTGCTAAAGTCCGAATTTCAAATGTAACTGTTCTTCTAGACTTCTAGAACTCTGTCATTGTTTATGTTTGGCTCAGGCTTGATTGTGAAGATTTTTTTGTCAACCTAGATGCTACTTTGCTCTTTTTTTGTCCTTTAGCTCTTGTAGCTTCATTCAAAAGTTGCCTATTTGACTTTACAAAGCTCTTCATACCTAAATCATCATGAATGACTCGTTGCAGTGTTCTCCTTGACATACAAGCCTCTCAAGCTAAGATATTGATCAATTTAGATTTTGTCGCACTTTTCATTCAACAGAATTTCGAAGTTTTTTAGTTCTTACAAATCTTCTTGGGCCTGTCTGCTTCAGTTTACCATTTCCACCTTTTTCTAGATCTTTAATGAGCCGGTAAACTTTTGAGTTATGAAGCTGTTCTTTTTCTGCTTTGCAAATTTTGCTTTTCATTACATCTGCCCAGAGTGAAAAAACAAGTTTTCTTACTTTTTCTTTTTCCAGGCGATTAATTCTATCCATTTTTTTTTAACTAATTTATAAAAAATATTTTTTATTATTAGCTAGTTAAGCCATCATTGATTTTCCCACCAAATTTGTTTTCCCTAAATTTTCGGACATTTTGAGCGTAACATTCAAACTGTTATGCACACACCTGTAGAAAACCTGCACACGTCTGTAGAAAATGTAAATTTTAGGTGCTGGTTTCTCAGAGTTTAAAAATCATTCAGCTAGATTTTTAATTTAAATTGAATATTTTAATTGAGTGCTGCTTAATTTTGTGGATAGAAACAATTTATTGTAGATATCTGTGTTGTTGAAGTTTGAGACCTGGATGGATGCTGCTACTCAAATTTTTTATAGTTTAAGCGTAGGATTTGGAGCGCTTATAGCTTTTTCCAGTTATATGCCTCGAAAAAACAATTGTATTCGTGATGCTATTTTTATTGTTTTGCTTGATTGTGGGACATCTGTTTTTGCTGGAATTGTTACTTTTTCATTTCTTGGATATCGGCATTTTAAAACTGGAATACCAGTGACTGAGGTTAGTAGTTGATATTTTTAGTTTTTTCAACATTGGATAGTGTTGTGTTGTTTGGTTAACTTTGTCAAAGTTTTTCTCAACTTTTAAATAAGTACAATATCTTTGGTTTTTTCACTTTTTACAAGGTTGGATCGGGACCTGGGTTAGCCTTTATGACATACTGTGATGCATTCTTATTAATGGACCTTTCACCATTATGGGCTATTCTTTTTTTTCTAATGCTAGTGCTATTAGGAATCGATTCTGAATTTGGAACAATGGAAGGAGCTATAGCACCACTTTATGACTTAAAATGGGTGACAATGAAAAAGAAATATTTTATTGGTAATTCTTTTAAAAACTTAAAGTTTTTACTTAAATTTTGTTTAGTTATGATAATTTTAAAAATAGTTATATTTATATATAAATTTTGTATTTTCTGTAACATTTATACATTATATTTGTACCAAAATTACAAAGGTTATTTATAATTTTCAATAATTTTATCTATTTTCTTTTTTAATTTTTTTACATTAATTTATTTTATAAATCTATTTACTTTCTGCAAGTTTTTTAATTTTCCATTTACCAATTATTTTTAATGAAATTGCAACCACTAGCCTAACCTTTTGTATTGGAGGATTAAAACAAGTTTTTGGAGGAAAGAAACCTAGCTGAAAAATTTTTCTTTAATTGTCCAATATATTGGCAAAATATTATAAATTTTTTTTCAAATTTCACATATCTACGAATTAAGTATTAGTGTAAAGAGCTTCTTTTTTTTTCAATTTTGGGATTACAACAATAAATTCAACAGAAATCAATATATATATATGGGTACATCGTGAAAATTAATTTAAAAAATAAAATAAAAATGCTACACAAAGTGTCATTATTTTGTTTTTTAGCAATAATTGCTTTGATATTTTTGATAATGGAATTGATATTTTGTTTGGGTAATGGCTTCTATTTATTTCAAATATTTGATAATTACTCTGTTCCCATTCCATTGCTTGTGATTGCCTTATTCCAAGTAATATCTATAGGATGGATTTACGGGACTGATAGGTAAGTTTTTAATGTGCTAATAATTTTTCTATACTTTAATACTGTATAGTTAGTTTTATTATTATATATAATATTTTATTGCTGTTTTTTTTATTTTATGATGATCCTAATTTTATTAAGAATTTCAAGTGATATTGAGTATATGACTGGAAAAAGACCAAACTACTTTTGGTTGATTTGTTGGAAATATATTTCTCCCCTGATTCTTCTTATTGTTTTTATTGGTTACATTCTAGCAGTGTCTCGAAACACTCCTCACTACCAGGCTTATGTTGGTTGCATTCAAGTAAGTGAAGTTATGTTGTTCCTATATTCCAAAATATGATATAGATACTTCAATATTTCATACAGTTTGATAGAAATATATTCCGAAAAATAATATAGATACTTTATTATTTTATACAGTTCAATAGAAATATATTTCAAAAAATGATATAGATACTTAGATATAGATATAGATATAAATATTTTAATATTTCATACATTTGATAAAAATATATTCCAAAAATTATATTGATTTAAATATTTCATTCAGTTTGATAAAGTTTGTCAAACTATTATGATAACAATAAGTTTAACTGAGTTTATGTAGCAAAACCCTTTGCACAGAGAAGAGTTTTTATAGGGAAAAGTTGTCTTAATTGGAACACTTGAGGAATAAATGTTTGTTTACCAAAAGTGGCCTTACTAGGAAAATATATATGATTTGATTAATACAAACAGACAACATAACTATACTTTTAACCATAATTTGACTTAATTGGTTGCACTGTTATTGGAAATAAATTCTTTTTACTAGGGTACCATTTTGGTCCAATCAAGGTAACCAGTTTTCTAAATTGAAACACTTTGATACCTTAATCGGAACTGGTTGTTTCTTTTTAAAAAAATACCCAGTAAATCAGCAAAAATCAATTAAGAATTATTTTTATTTTTACATTTACAATTTAAATAATTTAAATAGTTCAACAGGATTAGTATTACCCTGGTAAATTGAAATTCTACAAATAAAAAATTGTATAAAAACTTTATCTATTATGGTGTTCTTTTATTTTATTGGTTAAAAAGCAATAAATAGTGTATTATTTTTGAGGTGTATGGTTGTTACTAAGTATTTTTAAATCGTGCCTGAACTATTTCTTCAACCCTTACATATTAAGTAAGGGAAACTATATTTCCAATCAAGGAAGCTTTAGTATACTTTTTTTATATCACTACAATATCGTGCAGCAACTTATTAGCTAAGTTTATGTTTTTATGTGCATTTTAAATCCTGTCACATTAAACGCAATAAAACTATATAATCTATAGCAATATAGTTTACCTAGTGTAATCAATATAGTGTGAACACAAAATTAGATCACCGAAAAAAATGACACAAAAAAGCTTTAAATCTAAGGTGCATGTGCTATTTTTGAGGGATAACTTTAAAAAACTGTTGAAACATAGAAAATAAGAGGTTTACTAGAAAAATGCAAAATATAGGCATAATTAAATTTTTTTAATTAAGGCATTTCTCCCTTATGCTTCTAAAATATTTATTTCTAAAATCTACATTTTGATGCATTTTTTTATGAATTGGTCATTTTAAATGCATAAAATGGAAATATGTCCTAACCTTGGTTTATTCTTTTGCTTTTAAATGAACTATTTTTTATTTTTAATTAGGTTTTTTTTTTTGAATTGCTTTTTGTTTGTTGCATCTTAAAAATAAGTTTAAATAAATCACATAAAGAATTTTTTAATTAGTTTTTTTAAATTAAACTTTAGTTTATATTACATGTTTTATAATTTATTTAAAGACTGTTTATATTTCTTAAATTTTTTCTGTGTCATACAGCGCTGCTCATAGTCTTTAATATACACCCTGTTGCAACTTGTACAAAAAATTAAAAGGCTAGTTTTTCTTCTCAGATAAAATAAACCAATCCTCAATTTGGGTTTGTTTATTTTAGTCAACAGATTTAGCATATTTTTTCACTGCAATATCTGTTGTGCTAAACATTCACTTTGTAATAATTAACAAAGTTTAAAGAGATGTTGCTCCCTCATTTTTCAACACTTTACAAATAACTAAAAAGATTTGATTTAAGTCACATTCTTTATTGTAAAAAGTTTTATTGATTTTCAATTAAGCCAAATTGTCAAACAGAAGCAACAAAAGTTGGCAGTTGTTGAGCAAGATGTTGCATGCTGGCTATGTCAACTTCTTTAAGACATTTCTTGATTTTTTTGTGCAAATGGTCTAAACTTTTTGCCTGCCTATTATTTGCATGGACCTTGCTTTTCAAAATGCTCTAGAAATTTTTGATTAGATGAAATTCTAGGACATCTTGAGGATTATCTTCTTTTTAAACGAAATTCACTTTTGCGATCTACAGGTTGGAAATGATGGATTTTGCGTAATGGGCTGATTCTAGGTCAGACTAATATATATAGGCATTATCTAAATGGTGCTCTACAATAAGTCGCATTATTCTCTTTTGAATACACTTGCTCAAGTAAACCTGCTAGATGATTGCCATGCTACTAGCGAGGAAGAAAGGCTTTGAAAAACTTTAATCTTAAAAGTGGCGCCAGACGAGCAGTTTCTTTTAGTATTTGGTTGTTGTATCATACTTGACACTTGCAGGAGTTACTGAAACATTGCTGGTCTAGAAATGTTTCAGTAACTCCTTTGTTGCCAATAATGTAAGAGGTAGAGTGAAGTATGATTCATCGTTCAAAACTTTTTTTGCAACTTTTCACACAGCTGGCTGCATCTTGGTCTAATCTTTGCTTTTTGGTCCTTCGGATCCTGGTTTTCTTTCTTGTATGGATAGAAGACTTGTTTTTGAGTGTCAGGGAGACACTCAAAAACAAGTCTTCTTGTTTTTGAGTGTCTCCCTGACACTCAAATATATTAAACTTATGTATTGATGACTGCCTTGAAATAGTCGAGCTGCTTGGGATTGCAAAATAGCGTCCTTATGGTCAAACGTCGCTTTCAGTTGCTTTATGTTGGTTTTGGTCATGACTACCAGTTTTTTCCCACCACCCTTGGCTCTATAGTGGCCAGATTTATTTTCAGTTTGGTCAATAATCCTTTAAATTGTACTACTTGGCAATTTCTCAGCTACTAAGTGCTTAATGGTGAATGGTTTTCCCTCTGATCTATTGGCTAGATAAAACTTGTACATGCGTTTTCTTCACCTCTCGTTTTTGCTGAGTATTTTGGTTTCATTTTTGAAAAGATTCCTTAAGCAAATACAGATAAATGATCAGTGTGAAATTTGCTACAAAATAGGTAATTAATATAATTAATTTGAGACAATATATTTTATGTCTGCTAAATTTTGTCCCACTTTCAACTTGCCACTGTTAAACACAGTCAAAGCATTTTAATGAGGGGAATTTCTTTTGAAATCCTTGCTAAAGGCTTATTAATGATTAGAGCAGGATTTGAATTTATTAACCAGATTAAAATCCATAGCTCTAGCTACTCATTTTTATAACTTATTAACTTTTGTGGTCAAATTTCAAGTTTATGTTCAAATGTTTAAGTGGCTTTGGAATCAATATATATTACACTTTTTTCCTTACAAAGTTACAAAGTTTTATATTACTATTATATTATATCTCACGAGTCACTAATTATATTGCAACTAAATATTAAAACCCCTTTCAATATGTTTTTCAATTTGATGCTGATAATTATAGAAGCTGTAGCTTGAAGTTGTAGTATCATTTTCAACATGGTTTTTTTAAATCTGTTGGGCATAGATAATTTATTTTTTTTACCTGCCATTTCAAGATTGCTTTGGTGCATTGTAAAGTTACATATTTTTTGATATAAAAAATATTACTGAGTTTATACTAAGTTGATATTAAACTAAACTGATAAATTCTTAAAGTAATAAACTGGAAACTAAACTAAAAAATTGGCTTCATTCTGTTTATGATCTGCTTGGAGCAGGGTTAAGGTTAAATAGATATTTGTATCTGGCAATTGGCTATATTGTTGTATTTGTATTTTTTAAATTGTGTTGTACTTGCGTTTGATAAAAAATTTCTTAAATTTTTGTATTTGATTGGAATGTATTTATGGTTCCATAACCTAAATTGACTGGTGTTTTTTATGCAAAAAAACCGAGAATTTAGTTGTTTTTTCATTTTTAACACTAAAATAATATATAAATTGAAATTTAATTTTATTTGTTAAAAGCATGGCCTACTATAGTTGCAGGCCATGCTTTTAACAAAGGCTGAAAAAAAAACTGTAGGCGAGTTTTAGTTTTATAAAATTCTAGTAAAATGGTGCGTTTAAAAAAAACAACATGGTTTTAAATTTAATATGTGGTACATTTTAATTTTATTTATATTAAATTTGCTTTCTTTTTAGTGCTAAATAATTAAATTTGAAGAATATAATTTTTAAGTCACTGGATGCAGAGGTAACTACGATATTACAAAGTCTGTAAAAGTTTTTCGCCTTCCAAATAAAAAAAGTTTGGGCAAACGAAAAAGATAGATAAGTGCTATACCTGGAGATATTATTCCAGATAGATTAAGGTCATTGGTCTAAAGGCTATGAAAATGTTTTAGTTTACGGTAAGTTAAGACCAAAACATTTACCATCTGTATTTTCTTGTGTAAATCCAAGTCAAATTCCAACTATTAAATCATTGTCATTTTTAAGTACTTTGCCTGATGAAATGGAGGCTTTTGTGAAAGCTGATAATATTTCTTTTTTCGAAGATTTGTGTAATAAAATGTCTAAAACTATATCTTTTTCTTACTCAATAATATTAAGTACCAATGAAAACTGTTTACATCTTCAAACTGCTGATATATTGGACAATTTGGGTGTTCCAAAGTTTATTTTGAAAACCATATTTACCAGTCCAACAATTGAAGCGATAAAAAGATGTGGTGGTTCTGTTGTTGCTATTCTTTGCGACAATAACAAAATAAATAAAAAGTTTTTTGGAATGTTCAATCTCCGTAATACTTGGTGCACTTACTTTTCCTACTGTATGACTTTGTTCATTTAATAAAATATATTCGCAACAATTGGCTCACAGAAAAATCCCAAGTACTATGCTTTACTTACAAAGGTATTTCAAGAACTGCAAAATGGTCAGATCTTAAACAACTTTTTCTATTTGAAAAAGATGCTATTGTGAAACTGTCTAAACTTAATAAAACAGCAGTTTTTTTCCTAAACCAACTAAACATCAAAATGTGTCAACTTGTTTAAGAGTATTTTGTGATGAGACTGTAGCTGCTATAAAAATTCATCCATCC